TGCCCCTCCAGGTCCTTCTGGGAGTGAGGGGCCCAACCCTGACCCCAGCATTCAAGGGGTGGCCTCCCCAGTGCCCAGGACAGGGGCACGGTCACTGCCCTGCTCCTGCTGGCCACACCATTCCTGATACAAGGCAGGATGCTGTTGGCCTTCTTGGCCACCTGGGCACACTGCTGGCTCATAGTCAGCCGCCTGTCGACCAACACCCCCAGGTCCTTTTCTGCTGGGCAGCAACCTGTCCAACCCCTCTGCCATGGCCAGGGACACCTTTCACTAGACCGGGTTGCTCAAAGCCCTGTCCAACCTCATCTTCCAATGACTGGGCATCCACAGCTTCTCTGGGTGACCTGTGCCAATATCTCAACACCCTCATTGTAATAAACCATCCCTAAGGGACTTCTGCCGTCCTGCCCTGCCTGCAGGGGCTCTCTGCACCCACCCTGCTCCCTAAAGGACACTGAGCAGCGAAACCCCAGCCTGACACTGGGGAAACGCCGTGCGGACGTGGGAAGAGTGGATCTGAACAAAACTTCTCACGAATCCTCTGTGTAAAAGCAGCTCTAGTGCAGTATTTCTAACCTTTAAAATTCTAATTTAAACATTGACAAAACCATGTTACTTTCTAATTAAATCCCATTTTCTCCCAGGGATTTTAATTTCAAAGTGATTTATCAGATTTAAGGATCCTCAAAACATTTTGCATGTTTTTTTCTAACCTGCCATGCCCGCTGATTAATTTTCCTTATTTGTTAGCAGGAGGATTCATTAGTCATTAAGCGAGTGGGTGGGTTGGGGGGGGAGCAAAAATGGTTGGTGATTATGAAAACAAAAAATCAGAGCTGTAAGAAGCATATGTTGGGATCGTAATCCTGACACCTCTGTGTCTCAGCAAAGCAGCTAGTAATTGTACCGTAATGAAATGTTCTTGTTTGATAACCAGTTAATTAGAGCAGACAATTATTCCAAACCCCGCTGACGCCCACAAACAGCTCCATGTCGTGCAGGCACTGAATGACAGCCGGAGCTGTTATCTGTAACCTCTGCATCCCAGCCTGCCTGCTTTAGCAGAAATGCCGCTTCCCAAGCCTGGGGGAGGCTGAAAAGAACCCAAACTCTCCCCCAAAAAATCAAGGGGTCCACTGATCCTGAGCAAAAAGGTCTCTGCTGCAATCCTAGATGGAGTTTGGGGCGTTTTGCTTCAAAAAAGGGGTAGACCATCAGGAGAGATGAAAAGTGCAGCAAAGGTCCCCAGGAAGAGAACTGAGGGACTCGGTTTACTTAGCTGGGAGAGAAGACCAAGAGGAGCCACAGCCTCCAAACGTGACACAGCAAAGGAGGAGGCAATGAATGATCCTCTGCATCTACTGCAGATAAAAAAAGAGGCAAAAGGCTTAAATGGTAACAAGGGGAATGTTGGCTAAGTGAGAGGAAAGTGTTCCTAACAGTAAGGATAATTAAGCACTGGAAGAGATTGCCTGGGGAGATGTGTAATCTCCACCACTGAAGGTTTAAGAACAGATTAGGCACACATCCATCAAGAATGGCTTAAGTAGAGATGATCCTGACTTCAGGCAGCAGTATGGTCTGGTTGACCTCTTAAGTCTTTCCTTGCCCTCCTTTTTATGATTCCATGAGTGGATTTCACCCCACCCCCCAAATGTATAAATTTGGATTTTATTCTGCTGGTAAATCTGGAGGGTTTTTCTTGTAACTATTATACACTTTCCTTCAAGATATCTCTTGGGATCATCATAACTTATGGCTTATTCATAAGATAACTCGAAAGTACCTCCTCCCTGCACAGTGGTGTCTGCCACACCGCCCTTCTCTTTGCATATGGCCTCCACCCGTCCATCGGAAATGCATATAGCAAACATAGCCACGTCATCCTTATTGCCTCCTAGCTCTTCCTCACCTCCTCGCACCCTCCTCTGTATCTCTCCTGCTGCCTTCTTGGGGAAGGCTTAATCCGTCTTTCCCAGCATGAAAACCAACTAACCCAAGCTACATCTACCACGTAAATCTCAGCACACCTCCTTTGGTCTAATGG